CCCCAAAACCCCAAAACCCCAAAACCCCAAAACCCCAAAACCCCAAAACCCCTTGTTTTGGATAAGAGATTGATAATAAAATAATTGGTTTAGCAGTTATATTAAATATGATTGAAGATCAACCTAGAGAGCTGGCCGAGAGGCAGAGAGAGCATCAGAGACATTCAGCTATGATGCAGCAACAACTTCGTGATGAGGAAGAAGATTATGGAGAAGGAGAGTATGTACAGGAAGAAGATGTACAAGAGGAAGGACAAGTAGAGGAAGAAGAAGAGTATGAGCAAAGAGATGCACAAGATTCTCAACGACTCATTCTTGGTAAGTAACAAAACTCTCTAGATTTTTAAACCCTGGGTGCCTCAGAAATTCTACACCGCTTTCTACAATCCTAAAGAAAGTGTTCTTCAAGCAATAAAGTAGTTGATCCTACTAACCGCCATTTGCAAATATCCATTCCTAATCCTGATTCAAAAAGTTTCATACTAAGTTCACTTTTAGAGGGTGACAACTACAACAGGGCTAGAGAAAGAGAGGAAGTACTCAAGAAGCTTGTAAGTTCTCAAGAAGTCTACATCCAAGAGCTTGAAGGTAAGAAAGGAGAGCTTGAAGGTGAAATCCATTTCTGGAGAAACAATAAGTCACAAGAAAGTGCAACTCAGGAAAGATCCCATCAAGATAAAGTGGCTCAGAGTTCAGGAGATCAAGATTCATCAATTTTGGTTGATTTGGTTGAGAAGAACCAAATTATGATCCAGCACTTACAAGATCAACTCAAAGAAAAGGAAGAGGATTATGAAAACAGGTTGAATCAGAGCGAAATCCATCATCGTACTGAGCTAGAGGTTCTAGAAAGTGAGAACAGGATCTTGAAGAAGGCTCAAGAGCAGAAGTTCACCTGTGAAAAAGACAGAGTAAACTTCCACAGTACCCTGAGAAACAACCTGCTAGAAGAAATAGAAAGGATTGAAAAGGATCAAGAAGAGAAGGAGAAAAATCTTTCTCAGTGGAGAAGTAATATGATGACTGAATTCCAAGAGGAGAGAGAAGATGCTGAAAACAGAATCCAGAATTTATCCCAGCAAATTCAGGAATTATCAGCCCAACTTGCTGATAAAGAGAAGGAACATGCCAGTATGCAGAGTGAATTTGAAGCAAGAGTGGATTATTTGACGAGTCAAAAGAGAGCCCTCGAGCAGAAAGTAGAGGAGAGAAGTAGACAGATTGGCACTCTACAGAATTCTTTGTCTTCCAAGCATCACCAGAGCACCTCTGATGAAACTAAATGGGAGACTGAGAAGGAGGAACTTTATAAGAACCTCTCCCAAGTTTCTGAAATCCTTGAAGATAAGGAAAGACTTCATGAAGAACAATTGAAGAACCTGGAGGAGCAGTATAAGATCTCACTGGAAGTTCTTGACCAAAGAATCAAGATGCTTAATGATGAGAAGAGGCAAGTTGAAAAACAGAGAGGGTTTGAAAAGGATGACCTCTCCATCTCCCTTGCTGAGACTAGTACTCAAGTTGAAAAACTGAGAGCTACTAACGGTCTCATGATCTCAATTTTCACAGAGAGAGAAAACCAAGCTGCATCTGATATTGAACTCATGAGGAACGAAGTTGTGAATCTCCAAAAATTATTTGATAATAGAGAAGTCAACTATATCGATGAGACCAGGAAATATGCAGAAAATGTAGAAAGACTCCATTCCTTACTCGAAAAGGCCAATGAAAGACTTGAACAAGGCTGGGACCCAGAGAAGATTGTATCTGAAGAACTCAGAATTCAAGTAGAAACCTTGGAAAGACAACTAGCTGTTAAGGATGAGCAGTTAGAAAACCTGAAGGTTGAAGTCTTGGATGCTCAAAATCAGCAGAGAAAGGACATTACTGAAACAATTGGAAAGTTTAGAGCTTACTTGCAGCATATGGGCCAGCAAGAAGTTCTAACTGAGCAGAAATACCAAGACTTCTTGGCAGAGCAACAGGAGGTCGATAAGATCTGTAACGAGAGAGAGCTTGACGATACCAATAAAATCAATGACTCTTTGGGAGAAATTAATGATTTGAGATTTAGAATCAGAGAGCTTGAGGCAAATAACAAAGCTAAGGAATATGCTGAGCTTGAGTCAAGATTCATTAAATTGGAAGCTGAATTATCCTATACCAAACAAAGCTTGGTTGGAAAGATCCAAACTTTGAATACTTTCGAAGATCAGATCCGCCACAAACTCGAGCAATCAGATGTAAATCTTGATGAAAATGACGAAATTTTGAGACTCAGAATGGAGAATGTCAGACTAAATGAAGAGAACTCAAGTCTTCTAAATGCTAAACAATCCATTGAGACTAATCTCAATGACAGAATTGATGTGCTGGTGAAAAAGCTATTCATCAAGACTGAAGAGTGCGAGGAGCTACAGAATAAGTATTCCAACTTATTGACTTCTCTCAATGGTCAGAGAGAGGAAGAAATCAAGAGTTGGATTAGAAGACAGGATTTAGTCAAGAAGACTATCGAAGAGCTCAGGATCCAATTAAAAGACACAAGAGACAGAAGGACTTCTTCCCTTGCTATGAAGGATCAGGAGCATAAGCTGACTACAGATGAGGTAAAGCTACTCAGGATTGAAGCAAGCAAGATGCAGAAGAGTACTGACAAGATGTTCAATGACTGGGTCAATGAGAAGAATGGGCTCCACCTTGAAATCAACTCCCTTAGAGATAACCTGAAGGCTGTAGAAACCTACTACCATGAAGCAAAAGACCTGAAGAATCAGGAAAGTGACTTGATTGCCGAACAAAGACATAAGTTGAGAGAGAAAGAAGAGTACTACATCCAACTTGCCAATCAGAAGATAGAGATTGAATCTGCCATGAAAGAGCAAAGGGAGAGAGAAGATGCAGATAGGGAGGAGAAGACTGAGAGAATCATCAACATGCTCAGAAAGGAGCTATCTGATGCTCATGGTGAAATCAAAAAGCTCCAAAATTATCATAATTCCAAAATTGAAGAAATTGAGCAACTTCATGAGGAGAAGATCAAGATTATAAATGAGAAAGAAGGGTCTAGTCAATACCATAACCAGCAGCTCAAGTCAAGACTTGAGAATGCTGAGAAGACTTATAATGACCTAAAGACCAATGAGAAAATTGAGAAAATCGTTCTAAGGACTCAAGTAAAGACACTGTCTAAATTAACCGAAGAAAGAATTGAGAAGACCTTGCTCGAGAAAGAAGATATCAAATCCAAGCTTGATAGCCTGGTGAAATCTGCTGCTATCATCGAAGATGAAGAGAATAGGTACAAGTCAACTATCGAGCTCAAGCTGAGCAAGATCCAAAAGTTCATGAAAAAAGTCCATGAAGTTCTAGCATCCACCTACAAATCCGAAGAGCTCGAACTAATCCTGAGGGACCTTGAGGATATCGCTCAAAGATCAGGACTGGAAGACAAGACCAAGAGTTCTGGGTACTCTAAGAAGAGAATGGATTATGAAGACAGGATCTCAGAGAGAATGCACCATGCCAAGAAAGAGATCGAGAAAATCCACAGTTTAGAAGGTGAGAGAAAGGCTAAACATATGGTCGAGAAGTTATCAATCGTGGAGCTCTCCCACAGACTCGCTTCTCTCATTAAAGATATTGAGGAGATCACTGCTTATGAGAAGAAAATTATGACTGGAGAAATCAAGCAATTCAAGGAAGCCATGGGAGAAAAGGAAAATAGATTAAACAATGAAGTTAAGGGAATTAAGAGAGAAAGAGATGATCTCTTAGTTAAGCTGGGTACCCTTGACCTCAACAATAGAGAAGACCAACAGAGACTTGAGACTATCATCAATGGATATAAGGAGGATAAGGATGAAAGAGTCACTGATGTAATGAAAGAAAATGAAAAACTCCATAGTTATGCTACAAAAGTAACCGAACTTCTTGAATCAAGCAGTACTAAAGTCCCTGTGACCCTCCCATCCAAGGGTAGATACAAGGCTGATCTAAAGGCTACTGGAAAGCCTCAGAAGTCCAAGAAGGCTTCTTACCTAACCTCCAGCAAAAAGGCTGCTAGAGAGGTAAACATCAGAAACAGTGTGAGGAAGAAGGCTCAAAAATAATGATTAAATTCAATGAATGGAAACGAAAATGGGGTTTTGGGGTTTTGGGGTTTTGGGGTTTTGGGG